ATCAAACCCAAATGATCTCGATTAAATCTCTTCAACTAAAAAAAAACCAAACAATACACACATGTGTTACTTTATTGCACACATGTGTTACTATTTACAGTTTCTTTGTATGTGATTTATCCAAGCTCTTAATTATGTAAAGGCTCTTAAAAGAAAACACTTTTTTTTTATAAAAAGCTTAATATTAAAAGATTTGTTCTTGATTATATTAAGAATTAAAATTTACCATTTAAAAAAAAATCAGCACTTTACTTTCTCGTATGAGCCTTTGGGTCGGTTTTAAAATATTTTGCATTGCGTGAATAACTACCAAGTCATACTAATAGGGTCTCAATAATTTTAATTCTAAATAATATTGCATGTCTTGCGGTGGAGTATACATGTTTCTCTTACTTAATTGAGCTAATATAATTTATATGCTTAGGTGGCCATCAAGTATAATTGGGGTGTTAGAGATTTTCCCAACACATACAAGATTATAAGTCCTTTTGTGTAGTGACTTGGCTTTTGTAGTCGTGTTGCTTATCTCTTTCCACTCTATAAGTATCCTCATCATACCCTTGCTAGCGTAAGTCCTACTTCTAGCTTTTTTTTCTGAACAGAGTCGTTGGAGCTTAATTGTCTCTTTCTTTGACTTTAGGATTACCGAGCCATTTTAAGGACACTACAGAGTCGTCGGAGCTTAATTGTCTCTTTCCTTTTGTGGGTCTTTTATAGTTATTTCATAGCTTTCTTTTGTTTAGAGGCAACTACTTGTAAGGCTAAAATAACTCACCTTCTATGTGATTACCTAGTTCAGCCTTAACAACATAAGGTTTTCCCTATTGAAAAGATACTAATCTCCTCAGTTTACCTATTGTGAAGGTCTATAGTAAGTAGGCATCATAATTTTTATTGAGAGTCTTCTAAGATATCCCCCAAGATATAATTGACCACGATGATATATCATCGTGGAAAATTTCTTTGAATCGAGAATAAATAAATAAAATTCATTATGTCTCTAGTTTAGATACAAGTGGCGTCTTAAGACTCTTCTTGTATATTTATTTGAATCAAATATTGTCTGATTTATTTCAAGCAGTCCTTCTTCTGTGAATGTTACAAGATTCTCCTTATGAGGCATTTTCATATCATTAATTTTTTTCCTTTTCTTAATATTTGTCATTTTTCATTTTTTTCCCTTCTCTCGCTTTGTTTCTTCTGAGCCTGGGGTTGTTTGAGAAGGTAGACACTCTTTCTGAGCAGATAAGAATCATAAAGGGGGTCACACAATAAGGTTCACACTAGGTCCAGTTGAACAATTAGGCCAATCAAGTTGAGTCATTGATCAAATTGGCTAAACATGGATTAAATGAACCTATCTATGGTGATTGATTCAAATGATTTTTTCAAACTAGTTAAATCGCTCAAGATAGCCTAATTAGCTCGAGCTAAGTAAATTATAATTAATTGATAAAATAAATGGATAATTGGTCAATTTATTTATGGTGAGTCCATTTAAGTTAATTGGAAAGCTTGGTTGATGGTAATTCAATGAGATTGCCCAATTTGACTTTATAAAATCTAATGGAACATTTAAACAAAGCTTGATCAAAAGTTAATTATTATTAAGTTAACTATAGTTAATTAGTTAGAAATTTTTTCTAGAATTGGCTTGGCTCAATTTGTTCAAGTTAATCAAAATTGTCTATCAGGCCAATTTAGGTCAACTTAGATTTGGCTTGGCTCAATTTGTTCAAGTTAATCAAAATTGTCTATTAGGCAAATTTAGGTCAACTTATATTAAGTGACCAATTAGTTTGTTCAAATGCAAATTATAACTAATTCATGTAGGTTTGATCAATTGAATTTGATTTTAGATATTGGGTTTAGTTAATTTGATCAAAGTGATTATTTTGGTTTTGTAGGATTGAGTAGGTCCAATTGAACTAAATTGAGTCAAATTGACCACCCAGACTATACATGACTCTATTTAGCATTACTAGGTGAAGGATAACCTACACGAACTTATTGAAATGATTGGCCAATGTTTATATGATTTGGTTTCAAGTAACTTAATTGGGTCGTATTGGTCAAAACTAGGATTTAAAGATTTTATCTTTGTCCAAAGATAAGTTAGAATGAATCCATCATTGGTTTGAAAATCTAAATCACGTGGAAGCATTCTAGCTAAATAATTGAATCCGCAAGTTTAAAAGTATCAATTAAATATAAAGCTTTGGGTTAATTAGAAATAGGTCAATCATGTTTCAAATTATAATGCACAATCATACAATTGAATCAATGGGAAAGAGATCGAGGGCTTTTTTTGGGCAGCTGCAGCTTACTAATATTAGATAAGAGACCCGTGTTTAATGCAAATTATTTACATAAGCGGACGTGCTGCAGTTTCTAAATGCTTGAGCCTGTGTTTTCAGGCCGCACCGCGGTGAAAAGCTGCCCCAAACAGGGCCTGAGTGGTTATATCTTCAATTAGTTCCATCAGGATTAAAGAAGATTGAGCGAGGCATATATATGCTTAGAACTAGATAATGCCATGTCTATTAAGATGATGAATTTGGAATTAAATTAAACGATCATGTTGCTATTAAATTTTGATATTTTTTATACCAATAATTATGACACATATCTAAAATTTATAGTAAAATTTATAATATCTATTGCCATGCCCATTTTTTAGGATATATTCATTTATTATAGTTATCTCTTACTAAAGTCTTCTCCTATTAATATAAAGACATTTGTATGCCCACTGATTATTTAATTTAGCTTTGTAACTCCCAAAGCCGAAACATGGGCTTAGAACAACTGGAGTTGATACAGCCAAAGTCCATGACGTGGTGATCTATAAGCATGACACGTGGATCAATGTGGCAAATCGAGCTCTTGGTTATTGGAACGCCACGTGGCTATCCGAGAGCCGTTAGCTAATTTTGTCTTTTTTTCATGTGGAAAAATTCCTTAATAGAGCAATGACAACTTTTAAAAGGACTAATTTATAAATATGCCGGCTTTTATAATGATGAAGCTTTTGGATTTATATGAAGGCCATTTAAGTTCATACCACACAAGTCTTATTTATTTACATATGACACACATAAATATGCATATTTATACATACAACCCTTAAAAAATTTAACATTAAAAATTATTATCATTATTTTTTTAAAAGTGAAATACACCCTTTTTATACATATATTTATGATATTTATGACTCAAATAAGTTATAAGTGTAAATATATATGAAGTTATTGGTATGTATGTAATATTTTTTAAACATTCAATTAATATTCATTGTGCTTAATTATATATGATATGATGATTTTTAATGCAATTTGGTTGAGATATTATTTAATCAAGTATAGTTTGGATGAAATTCAATTATATTGTGATAGATTGAGGTGATCCATTCAATTAATTGACTTTAAATTCGGGTCAACAATGCTTTGAAGGTGAATTATGGTGAGTTGTTCTTGAATGATCTTTAGTCGGCTTTATAAGGATTCAAGGAAATTAGAGCGAAATTAATCGACTTTGACACAGAGTTATTATTAAATTTGACCAAGTTTGATGAAAGATTTGAATGAATTTACCATGTAATGTAAAGCCAGGGCGTTTTTGTGCCTTCTCATATCATCCCGTCCTTTGGTACCCTTCCTCCTTCGATCGAAACACCTCTTGTGCGCGTCTTTGCTCTTCTCACGTTGCACCCACCTTTGGTTCTCTTTCGCATTCGATCAAAGCTTTTCCTTGTTTTGACAGGCGAAACAAAGTGCTAAATTCGTATAAATAATACACCAAGTAAAGGATATATACATGTGATTTCTTGCATTCAAGAAATGTGTGGTAGCAGAAGGATCAAAATATAAAAGACTACTAAACATTTTAAGTGTTGGAGCTCTAATTGGTTGTAGAGTAATGAAATGTAATGGAAGTGAGATTTTCTCATGGCATCTTATTCCCGCTCGTTCCTCCTAATTCATATAGATGGAAGCAGGATCAATTAACTATTGGTATATTAATATTAAAATTAAAATTAGTGTCATCATGGCAATAAATATATATTATTGTAAAAATAATATGAATAATACTTAAGTGTTAAAATGATGTTCTTGGAGGAATGCATTAAAATGAGGGTCACGTCCATCTTTATTAAGAAAAAATAAAAGTTACAACTCGAAAAATCAAATTACAACTCACACTAATAAGGGTAAATATATCATCTTGTTTATAATTTTATCGTTTTAATTCATAAATCACTTATACTATTTTATGGATTTCATTTATTTATTTTGATAATTTATTATTATTTATATTTTTAATTAAGCAAATGTTTATTTTTATAAATTATTTGTATGTATTAATGTGTATTTATTTTTATTTTATCAACTTCATTATAATTGTATTATTGTCATACATAAATCTTTTAGAATAATTTTTTGGGCCTCATTTGCTTGTTTTGAACATTTTAATTTTATTGCTATCATTCATAACTATATCTTCTTCATTATAATTAATTGTTGTGATTTTCATATGAAAATATATGTACAGACAAGTTTGTTCAATTGTGTTGTATTTATGGTGTCGGTAGATTTTTTATGGTCTTCGAGCTGGCAAAACTTGGCTTGATTGACTTGGCTTTGCTAATTGAATGTTCTAACTTTGCTGCCGACCATTGATTCCCATATGTTTACATTACGTTTTATGTGCTGAATATATAAATATATAAGAATATGCATATTCAAAATTCATATATATTTACATAACTAACGCATAAAGTTTTATACTTACATTTATAACATCTTGGTGCTATAAAATCATAAGAAAAATATTTCACTTTTAAACAGTAATGGTAATGACAATTTTGTGATGATGTTAAAAATTTAAGTGGTATGCATGAAAATATGGCTGATAAAATTTTTAACAGGTAGATACATAAAAAATTAGGTGGCATGTATGTAAATGGCATAGCAAAATAACAAAAAATAATAATAAAAATGAAATAAAACAATTAATGGTACCTCCCGCCTCCACAGCGTTGCAGCTGCGGCGGCATGGCGCCTCTCCGGGACTTTAAACGCATCGCCGACGGGGTTTTCCTTGTCGCCGCGGAGGCCGCCAAGAGATCCACGTACTTTGAAGCCGCAAGAGCCGGTGACATCGGAGCACTAATTTCTCGCACCATAAGGAACGCCATCGTCTCAGCCACGGATCTCGCCGGATTCACCAGCGGGAAAGTTCGCGAGTTTACTCCCCTGCGGCCCACGGAATCCGTCGTGTTCTTCTCGGACTCTCCAGAGGCCGCTGCGGCGAGGCCTGATGGCTCCGGCGATGTATCGTTGTCTGCCTCGCCGACGGTTTCGGTCCCAGAGTCTTCGGTAGCGGAAGTGAAAGAGGAAGTGTTTGTTTTGGATGATGGGAAGCTTGCTGATGAGCCGGGCATCTCTGGGGAGAAGGGAGAAGTGAATTTATTGAACTTGGAGGAGGATGATAAGATGGACGAGGTTGTTGTTCCGTTGAACAGGAGACGGCCTCGGGAGAGGAGAGTGCCTTCAACCCCTTTCAGCAGAGCACTTGGGTGAGTAAAATCATTCTAGAAATACCTTCCAAGTTACGTTTTAATAGCGATTGGCTATCCAAAATTTGCCTCTTTGGAAACTCATTGAGTGGAGAGTTTTGGAAGCAACCCTAGTTTTTTGCTAGACTCTTCTTTGCCTGAGATAAGGTGAGACTGATTCTCTTCCAGCCTATGCCAACTTGTTCAACCAAGAAATGCTAGAGTGTATGATCTTTCGTTTGCTATTGTAGCATTGATTCAAGGGTTTAGTAGATGGTTGAGTCAAAACCTTCCTTTGCAGAGAAATGCAAAGGGAGATGAACACATTCTTCCATTACATAATGACTATGAACACATGATAGAAGATTGTCATCACCCCAAGTTATCGCTAGAGTAGCTTTTTGAGGTAGGCTACTCGAGGGAATTCTTGGCAGTATTGAAATGAATTTTGAGAACATCAAGTGGCTTTAATTTGATCTTATGTTGTGTTGGACTGGTCAAGTGTGTGGATGTGCATTAGAGCTAAGGCTAGGATAGTTTGCTCCTTGTGAAGTGCCTTCACTAGTGCATTTTTGTTCATATATTGCTTGATGGATTCCATTTTAGCTATGTGTAGATCAAACTTAACAATAAAGTTAAGGGTCATTTATATACATACCACCCAATTCCAATGTATTTACATATCTAACAGCCAAACTTTAATTTTTACATTTATACCAACCAATTTTTTCATAACACATCAAAAATATACTATCTTAACTTTTAAAAATGAAATACACATTTTCATGCATGGGTAAGTTGGCATACATGTAAAAATTGAAGTTTGGGTGTTAGATATGTAAATACACAAGAATTGAGTTGAATATGGGTTTGAAGGATACTTAATTGAAAAATACAAAATGGATGTTGGGTGTGATTCTTGTTGTTGAATGATGGTTTAGAGATCTTTCATTTCTCTTGAGGGAGGGAGAGGGAGGGAGCGGGAGTGGGAGAGAGGGGAGGAGGGAGGGGCAATTTAGCTTTCTCTAGGAAGTTATTCTTACACGATATATTAAATCAATAATTTTTTATACTTTATGAAGATTTGCTGGTTTGGGAGCTGGGCTTGCATGGGGTACTGTTCAGGAAGCTGCAAATAGGCTTCTTTATGGCATTCCTAAATCGGAAAGGAAACAATCTGTCCTTTCTCCTTTGTTGTCGGAGCAAAATGCGCAGCGCTTTGCTCTCGCTCTATGTAGAATGCGAGGAGCTGCCTTGAAATTGGGCCAGATGCTTAGCATCCAGGATGAGAGCCTTGTGCCACCACAGGTATTGATATTATCTTGTGACATATATTCTTTGTTAGGAAGACTACATACACCACTCAATTCTGTTGAATTAGCATTTCTAACATCTAAAGTTCAATTTTTACATACATGCCACCTTCCCTATGTATGAAAGATGTATGTTGATTTTTAAAAGTTCAAATAATGGTATTTTTGACGCGATATGGAAGATTTAGTTGGTATTAATGTAAATATAAAAGTTTAGATGTGAGATTTGTAAATACATTAGAATTGTGTGCTTCACATGTTAGTTTCTCTATATTTTTTGTTATTTTACCTGGAAAGAATTACTTTCATCTTTAATTTATCTGCTATTTATGCAAAATTCTCTTTTGGATTTAATTGTTGACATCTATTATGCCATTGAAGCCAACTAAAGGGAGAATAGTTTGCAAATAATTGTTAAATTGATATATATATATATA